CTCTATGTAGACAAGACATGCAATTGCCTGGGGCCCCGAGTTGGGAGGGGGCCCCTGAGGGCAGCTCATTATGTGGTACAGCGTTTCCCAGTCGGGTCCTTGGGGACCCACAGACAGTCCACGTTTTTGCTGCCTGGCTGGCAGGGAACTCAGAGGGAGCAAAAACGTGGACAGACTGTGGGTCCCCAAGGACCCGACTGGGAAACACTGACGCAATACATCGCAACAACAAATATGCTTCGTTTTTTGTTTTTACAAAATAAAAATAAAGGACTTGAATTTATTAAATTGCCTTTACTGATATAATTAATTTAGACTTCACGCTAAAATAATGGTAATAAATTTGATTATGTTGGAGAAGGTGACTTGGAGGGGCCCCAGAATCCCTAGAAATGCCTCGAAAAAAGTTTACAACAATTTCATAGTCAAACAAGCGCGGCAAGAAACATTTATTAATGTTTATGTATGTAAAACCAAGGGCTGAATTTAGAGGGGTTGGGGCCCTACCTACTGTATAACATAAAATGCTCCTGTAACAACAAGAAAAACATATTTGGGGGGGGGCTACAATTCAGGACCCTTTGCTACAGCCTTTGCGTAAGTCCTGCACTGCATATAACTATCATCCCTAATGCATGGAACACTATAAACAAACATACATAAATATACATATACGATATATAAATATAAAAAATAAACACAGTGAAGTTCCATCCATCCATTTTCTGTAAGCACTTGTCCTCGGGTTGCAGGGGGTCTGGAGCCTATGAGCGCAGGATGGGGCTCCAACCCACTGCAGGGCTCACTCACACACTTACCCACTGCAGGGCTCACTCACACACTTACCCACTGCAGGGCTCACTCACACACTTACCTACTGCCAGTTTGGTAAAAACAATTTACCTCAGCATGTTTTTGGACTGTGGGGGGAAACTAGAGTAAACCGCACGACAACAGGGGAAGAACATGCAAACTCCACACACCACCACCACTGCACCAACTCACATTGAAATCGATATACTCATTTTTACCCAATGTGCAACACTGTTTTTGATTCTAATTTTAAAGTTATCTTTGCTTTCACATATATAACGATAAAATCATTTCACGTTCATTCTATCGTGATCAACCAGGACAAGTCATTTGTCACACTGATTAAAAATTACATTGTCACAACAAGCCATCTAACCATTAAATCTAAAACCAATTCTTAATTCTATATTCCACAGCAGTCAAGAAAAACCCTGTTTTCCTTTTCACACAATAAGTTATGTGTCACCTGAAACCAAACCACACATGATCATATCACATTGTGCTTTTCGGTCAAAACGTCTTTGTTATTTTAATAGCAGTTTGTTAAGATGTTTCTGCCCGCTCTGGGTGTGCCAGGCCTCAGGCCAGATTCTGGCCGGTTTGAAGCTTTGACATCCCCGCTACATTAAACCCCCCTGCTCCCCATTTCCCAGTTCAGGCCCTCTAACCACCCTCAGAGAAAACAAAGGCCCCCATTGTTTCATTGGAGCGCTCATTGACTCTGCCCCTCACCAGGTTATAGTGGAATGTTGGCAGGGAGTCCTGGGAGCCCACGGGCTATCAAGCAAGGCCAACGAGTCCCGGCGGCCGTGGGCTACCATAGCAGCCTGAAGGAGAGCCCTGCAGCCTACTGCTCAGAATGAAATTCTGCTGCAAACACCATGTCCCAGGTCCCTCGACTCCTGGCCAGTGTAATTAATCTGGGAGAAAAATTAAAGAATGTTCACTTGCCCACAGACCTAGTAAAAGCCCAGGGGCCATTCTAGGGGGGCCAAGGGGGGGACAAATGCCCCCGAGACAACAAGCATGGTCCCCACTGCGACCCCCTAAACATGTATAGTACTCGGGTCTGAAATAAATGTGTTGTTATTATTATTATTTACATTTATATAGGTGGGCTAAAATTTTGTCAGCTGGGAACAGGCGAAACACCAACGTGAGAACATTTTCTTGATGGACTCTTAATGTCGGGGCGCCAGGTGGTGCAGTCGCTTCAGCTGGTAAAAAGCAAAGTTAATGACAGAAAAAAAATAATCAAGTTTGTGGAATGAAGACAGTCTAAACAAGAAGTCAGAGTGAGTTACATATTTGTAAAAACTGTGAAATGTGGAAAGCATTGCATAAATAACAGTTTTTTTTTATTGTCTTTTGCTTCTTAATGCTGGCAATCTAGTCTAAGTAATACTTGGAGAACATTAAGGTCAAATGCATCTGCCCCCCCTAACAGAACAACTGTCCCCAGTCGGGCCCCCTCAGTTGAAATGGTCTAGGATCAACACCTATGCCAATGTTGCAGAGACTGAAAAGTGGATCTCGAAATGACAGGAAAAAAATGTATTAATATCACACTTAGGATGATATACTGCAATACTGTTGGTGTGCTTGTGTCATGGTATTTATCAGTCTCTTCTATTAGTTTTCACCTAGAAGCATTCAGTACCAGTGCCAAGAGCAGTGTCACAATCTGCAGCAGGGCTATAATGGCCAAGAATTGTTGTCTTTATAACACTAAACTTTACCCTTTCTATCTATATCTATGTCTCGATGTCTAGATAAGCACTGACATGGAACATCTCTGCTTCCTCTCTCATAAAGTATAAAAAGAACTTTTTCATCTTTAGGGGGTCATTCAAAATAACTGCATAGTACCCTGATTAAATCTATGAATCACATCTGAACTGAAAGACAATGAAAGTTACATCTTAAATGGGTCAACAAGTTTTTTTTCCTGATATTATGGAATATAAGTTTTGCGTGACTTCAAACTCAATGGACGTCATTTTAATGGTAAAAAACTTTACATTTATATTCATCAGTTTAATTATAGCACTTCACAATAATTCTCGATTGCTGTTCCACAAAGAGTGCACGAGGAAATTTCACTTGGCCGAACAATACTGGTTTTAGGTCAGAATTGCTTGATACTAGCCAGAGAGCTCAGATCCAATATAAAAAGTCTCTTGTATGTATAATAAAGACTTGCTGTCGAGTCCAGGGCGTTTCTGTTATGCACGTACCAACCAAGGCAAACAATGTCAGATTCCCAGGTGATGCAGTTGGCCGAGTGCTGACGTGGCTGCAGTGCCACTAGGTGGCAGTCTGATACTTTGTTTCTTCACAGTCATACTAACCCTTTTTCAATAGAATAGCTACCAGTCGTACTAGTTATTATACACTGTAATTTGATCAAGTCATAGCTAAATCCGATTGCACGGGTCATGGCTTTCCCGGCATTTGTGGTTTTCGGTGTCTAACTTCGCAGGTTCGCGCAATAAAGTGACATATTTAGTCGTATATGTGGATGCTCCATTAACCGTTTTATTATAGTTTGTGCTGCTATTTGTGTCACGCATAAAACAGCTCATCAAAGGACATTTTACTTCATAAACGTCCAGGTCTTTGGCGTTGTTCAGCAGCAGGTGCAAGTAACCGGTCAGGGATATATTGAGTGATATGTTTGGATGTAACGACGGCTGTGTTCCGCGATACAATGTGTCTTTGTGAGGCCTTGGCGTCCGGACAGAAATCTTTCAATGTCCCTCTGTACTTTGGTGGCGTGTTTCTTCTGGGTTTTCTTGCACATGGCCATATCGGGAGGGAGAAACGACTCTTTATCCATATGACTTTAGTTGTTGATCACGAATGCCTCCTTACTTGCTGCTAAAATGTCCCATCAATATACCCCATATGATGCATTTAAGCACTCCCCACCCCTTTTTTGTGCCTGCATTATCAAACTTACCTCGCCTTACCTAGCTATACTGTATATCGCTATATATCGCTGACCTTCACCCTGTCAGAACTGTAAAACAGTGTGAACAAACATGCGTGCTGCAGCTGCCTTTGTCAATCCACCTAACAGGCTCGTCCGCCAGCGGACCCCGACTTTCGGGTTTGATTTAATTACGACCTACATAGCGGAGGAACATTTCGGTTCCATCAGGCGCAAGCACGCCATACACCTTCTGAATTCATACAGATTTCATCCGACGACTGAGCACCTCTCGCTGGGAGCGAGAAGCGAAAACAGCGGCACCCCGTGTGACACCTGCTTGGGCGGGTCACTTAGAACCAAACGTCAGCCTGGGCCCGTTTGGGGACATCGATAAGAACGCAGTAATGAACAATCACGGATAAGTTAACAAGAGCCAGAATCATATCCGTGTTTTTATTTAAATAAATGCTACATCTGATGTTTTTTTAAAGAAGCAAAATTCATAATAACTGACTGACATATAAAAAAACATCAATGGTAGCAACAGCCCCCAACATCTTGCTCTTGAACGATACAAAATGAACGGATCTGTAAACGAATTTACAACCGGCGTATCGTGTCCGCGCTCATACCCTTCACTGCAACTGTGGCAAATAAATTTCACTGTGTTCCCCGAATATGTTACAATAAAACTTGAAACTTAAAAAAAATCAAAAGCCTGTGGTAGGTAATTTTGTATACTTTCCCTCCATTACTTTGATTGTAACGATACCCAAGAAATGCATTATTTGTTTATAATTTTATTTAAATTATACATCTTTGAAAATGTCACTATGAGACTAACCAACTGTTAAAATGGTACAAAAAAGTTGCTTACTTAGAAATTCCTAAACATCTGCAAATGGCAGCCTGTTGTTTGAACTGTAAAATAGACTTGCGTGCTCTGTACTGTACAGTATCAGCTTCCTAATTGATGAGCATTAACTGCGCCTTTAAGAGATTTAAAGAAATCAATTTGTAACTGGGGTCTTTGTCAGTTACCCCGTGTCACTGCACCGCACCTTCACGCATTGCCCCTGGTTTGTCTCTCCGTATTCTTTACTATTATGTCCCGAAATATACACATGCATGAGGAACACGCCTCTTAAAGAAAGGGAATGACAGCGCAAAACGCCTGTCGGAAAAGACTGAGAAAAGAAAAAAAAGCACTCCCCCCGTCTGCTCGTTTTTCCCTCCCCCTTGGCTTCCTCGATTCCCTCCCCTGTCTTGTCTTAGCTCGCTCATTCTTTTCTAGAAAACATGAAGGAAAGAAGTCAAGTTTGCTCGGAGGACGAATGTCAAATGAAAGTTTGAAAGAGGCTTCCGAGGGAGAGAGGCGAGGGGAAAAAGTAACAGAAGGGGGAGGAAGGTGGACGGACGCGAGGAAGGAAGGAAGGAAAAATTAAGACTTGCAACGCGATGAAAGGATAACTATATTAGCGGTTTATTACACGGAGAAGTCAATCATACGGCGCCATGAGCATACAGCCGGTTATAAACCAAGCGACGCGTTACTTTTAAAGAGTTAATCACTTGTTTACTTTCTGCTTCGCGCGTTGCCTCAGTTTATTATAGGAATAGTCGCGGAAAGTGACTGACTCCCCGGAAAGAGCCGGAGCTCGAGGACCCGCAAGCCGAGTCGGGCCGGTGGCTGGGGCCGGAGGAGAGGCGTTGCCATCCACTGTTATCTGAGAAATGGCAGGGGCAAAGCCGGGAGTCCACGCTTTACAACTTAAACCGGTGTCCGTTCAGGAAACTCTGAAGAAGGGGAGCAAATTCATCAAATGGGACGAGGTGGGTAACGAAATCGGATCAATCGGGCTTTCGTGGGGTCTGGATGAGGGTGTATCTGGGGCGGGGGGCGGTGGGGGGAGTTAACACGAGTTAAGCCGTAACACATAACAGCGTAACGCGTGTTATGGGAGAATAAACTCGTTTAAGATTTCTGTGCCAGTGCCAGCCGTGGGCCTAAATTGGTAAAGAGTAGCTACCGCCCTTTGTTTAGTTGCTAGTCCTGTCAAGCCAGTTTTCCCGCACGAAATGATTTTAAGAATCCTTAAGTCGGCGCAACTTTTCCATATCGTCCTTACATTTCTTTTCTTGATGGTGCTTTGCTGCTGGTGGGAGGGTGCGATTTGTGGCATCATGTTTACTATCTGGAAGCTCCTGTTTTCAATGGGTGTCTGGCCGTATCTAGAAATAGTTTTCCAAGCCGATCTTTCGGTCCGGTTTGCTGCAGTCGTGATTTTATTTGCAGTGTGCACCGCTGCTGAAGGCAAACAAATGTGTTTCTATAACAAATGGATCAACTCTTGATCGCTTCCGCGTACTAACGTTAGTGTTTGCCGATCCTATCTGTCGAGTAAACTGCAGTGCGTCCCGAAAACACGTGCGTCGAATTAATATTTAATGCATGTTAATGTCAGGTCGAGCATGGTCAAACACTTAATATAATTTTCATGACATGGCTTTCTCTCTGTTTTTATTATCATTGCACAAATTTCATGTTATTTTCATGGGTGAGCAAAAACACAATTTCAAACCATATCCTAAAACATAACCTGCATGCCCCAAACCGAATTATAGCAACGCTATCGCTCGACCCATTAGCGTCTAACTGTGTGTGGCAGTGCCTCTAGAGAAAGACATTTCATTAATAATTAACTCAGATTTCAGTTTTATGAAGACGCTCCCGGCTTCGGTCTCCAAAATTGGCCTTTTAAAATTCCTTTCAGCTCCGAAAATCCACATCTCACTGTAGTCAGTAACCGGGGCTGTAACTACGTCATCCCAGGTTTTATTCCCTACTCTCGACTGTATGTAAAGTTGCAGTTAGATCAATGTCCATACATTGTTGCGCAATATCTCGGCATTCAAATACGCCCTGCTTCTCGTGTGCTGCACTTTGTTTAAGCAGATCTCTCCGCCTTAATTCCTTCACTCTTGCTACAAGCCTACATACACATTCTGCTTACATATTATGTATAATTGTATCGATTGATACACTTAATATACTTTTACATATTCTGAGTTATGTTATTGCCGCCGTCTAGTTATTGTTATGCTTGTTAAGTGGACCATCTTGTCACTGAACTCCTTTTCCCACAAATTAAGCTGGCTCTCTTCCACTGTCCACCTTCCTGGTGCTTAGATGACCTCCGTTTTTCCATAAAGTCTTGCAGGTTGTTTATAAATCAACAATTCTTCCATAAAACAACTGTTTTGCAGATGAAAGCAATTGTATTCTGAGTACAGAGCATACACACTGTTGTGCTGTTGTCCTAGATCATATTGATTGAGTGACAGTCCCTTGCGGTGAGTGTTTAACAGGTCATATGCTAAAAGATTGGGTCTGGGGGAAAACCTGGGGTCCCTTGAAAGTTCACAGTGTTGACACAGTTCTGCGCTTTCATATATCTGTCGGACCCCGTCGACCGGCACTGGACGCGCTCTTCCTGAGACAGATGGTGCCCCTCACCCTGCATTAAGTGCCCTCTCCACTGAAACATACTCTGTGGTCATCATATTTCCCACATTGTAGTGTTCCTGTCTTTCTCCTCTTCTCTCCTTCTCCTGGGATTCGTAGGAAGTAGTTATGACCCTGAGTTTCTGGGTGAGCAGCAAGAAACGACATGTAAGCTCCCCACCCCCCATTTTTTGTCATTTGGAACGGAGGAGTGGAATATGAAGCAGAGAGCAGGGAGGGAATATTATTGGTTGGGAAAGAGAAAGAGGGAGAAATGTATCGTATACAGAAGCCAAATATGGAGATATCGCCTTGGAAGGTGCGGCGGAGTTGCCGTGGATGTTGCGGCCGATGGACCGCCATGTCCCCAGGTCCCATTGGCTGGGTGACTTGCATGTCATGGTCTGGCCTCCGTCCTCCACTCCCCAGCATGCCCTCTCAGCCTTTCCAAGACAGTCATGTGTCCTTTCATTATACGGAAATGGCAGTGTTGTACCTTTGCTGGTCACTGGGGCTGTACCCTCAAGGATCTGCCAGTTGTACCCTTAGCTGTAGGTGATTGTACTTTTTAAGGTACAGCAATGAACTCTGAGGAACATCTCCCAGGTACAAACAACATTAATGTACCCCGGACGGTATAAAAATGTTCCTGAGAGTCCATTTCTGTACGTTAAAAGGTACAGATACTTACAGCCCAGGGTACAATTGGCAGACTCTTGAGGGTACAACTCCAGTGACAAGCAAAGGTAGAAATTGGTACCCTCTTTTCTGAGAATGTACAGACCTTTGTCTTGTCTGTGTTCCATTCTGAATCTTCCGTTCCCAGGGCTGTTCCGGGAGCTTCTAAGGAAAAGAGGAATGTGAAGGGAGAGGGCATAGTGGGTAACATGTGCTTGTGGTCCAAGGACGAAGCAGAAGACGGATGAGTTTTGAAATCGCATGAATTGCCAGTGATGTGTGTTTATCGCATCGTCAGCATGATCATATTCTTTCACATATGCAGAATATTTAAGCAGGACTGTCAGATGATTCTCTTCCAAAGTGCAGTTGCATGTCTTGGTCATTTTGTGTTGATGAATAATTATATTTGTATGGGACTCAAATATTGTTGAGAAATCGTCTTGAGCTGTGTTTGTGCACAAGGAGAAACTATTTTGCAGTTGTTTAGTTCTCTGGGCGTGCTTCTTTTTGAATTACTTCCTGTTCCACTGAGGTTGTCTCTGGAGTCAAAACATTTTCTCTCCCTTGTCTTCACTCCTCTCACTTCCCTCCCTCCCCCCCTTGGTTGAATTGAAATTAATTCCCCTTTTTCCAACTCCAGTTGAGATTCATTCTTTTCAGCCTTCCTGTGCTGGGCCTTTCCACAGAGCTTAAAGGTCATGCTGGCTCAGGTATAGCTCTGTGGGCAGCTGCTCTAATATGTGGTATCCTGGATACCGCATCATCATTCTCCTCCTTGGCGTAATGCCTGTGTTTTTCTCCATCTGGGCACGGAAGTTGGACTTCCGTACATTTTTCTCCAGGCTGCGTTCTTCCGATCCCAAATTTTGCCACTGTGCATATTTCTCTTCTTTTCTTAGCACCACACTCTTCATAATTCCCCCATCTGTGTCTTTTCAGCCTCTATTTAGATCAGTCTCCCAACCCACTCCTCAGGGACCCACGGACAGTCCATGTTTTGCTCCCTCCCAGCTCCCTACCAGGAAAAAACGTGGGCTACCTGTGGATCTCCGATGCTGATTTAGATCATTTTCCTGCCGTCTTCTCCACGCCTCTCACTCGTTGACCATAGTGCTCCCAGACCCTCTCCTCTCCTCCTCCTCAGCCAGCCAGGCCCCGTTTTCACGCTCTCCTCTTCGCAGTCACACTCCTTTTGTTCTCTGCTTACTGCAGTCAGACATTTGTGCGAGCGCAGATTTGTTTACATCATCCCTGAGTACTACACGCAAACATCCTGTTTATGAGCTCACAGGCTTGCTGGCTTGTCCGCCACTGATGGCGCATTTCTGAGTGAAGCGCGGCCAGCAGTTTGTACACCCCCCCACCCCCGCTGATGTGCGGCGGTCGCAAACATGCACAGATGTTAGCGTGTGGCTTTATACGCAAAGCAATATGCATGGCCATGTGTTTACATGCAGACCCCGACTGACCGATACCACAGGGACACACAAGTGCATTTCCCTTTTGATATTTCCATAGATATGATGCACTAATGTAACGCAGGATTGCCTTTAAACTGATTTAAAAAAAAAAAAAAGAAGTTGTGTCAGATTTATTGCATTCCTCCTCTGGAGTAACATGACTCACTCTGTCGCATTTTCCCATGTGCTCCTCGGAGTGGGCATGTCTGGTCAAGTCGCTGTTTACCTTCCAAGTTGCACTATCTTGCCAAACATGTAGCTGCGCCTTCACAGTGGGGTGAGAATTCCCAAGGCGAAAGGAGGATGAAGGTGTTGGAGCATGCCTGCACCCCAATGCAAGATCCTGAAATTAGCCCCAACACC